AAATGGGTAGACAGCTGGAGGGTATAAGCGTAACAACTGAAGGTAGATGTGGAGTGGTATCAATCCACAGGGCTTATTTCTGCCACCTCAGAAGAATGATGCTGTTTTTCTTTGTAGAGACTGCTAGGATGCTACTTGGTTAAACTGAAGTAGCATATTCTCTATTGTCACATAAATTCTTATTTGGAACCAAATATTGCTCATTTAGTATAGTGACTAGTCTGTGGGCTGGGCAACTGGGGTTCTGCTCTCAGGAGTGGCAGACATGTTCAGACCAACTCTGGAGCCCACCCAGCATCCTACCTAGTGAGGACTGGGGCACTTTCCTTGGGGAGTAAAGTTGTTGCGACGTGAAGCTGAGCACTTATTTCCTTCTAGTGTTAAGGTTAAGAATGTATACCACTACACTTACACAAATCTTCATAGCATGTTGCTTAATTAAGGTGGGGAGACAATTTTACTTTACAAAATTATAGTGTATATGTATATGACACAAACTTTTACTTTACAAAATTATAGTGTATATATGACACAAATTGAGGCTAAGAGATGAAATTCAAGGCATTTAAGGATATTGATTTAGCGCAATCAGTATTGCAGATATCTGCAATCATTCCCCTTTGTTTATATATTTGGTTATTTTACAACACTATGCCACTTGCTGATGCTGCTTGTTTTCTTGTGGTCTCAGTTGCAAATTTCAGCCCAAAGACTAGCTATCCTGACAGATTTTCATCATGGCCTTCATGCAGATGCTTGGATAACAGTTTAAAACAGGCCATGACCACTTCCTTTCACATCCTTCTCACTTCATAATTCATAGTCAATATAGAGTTATCTCATTTAACATTTCATGCCCTCAGCAACTATTAAATTAACTGAATAACCAAACAGTAAAATGTTAACTAGAGTTTAGAAACAAATAAGGAGTGATTAAGGTTATGAAGTGGAATGATGAATTCTATAGGAAGTAATCAGCCATAGTGATTTACACACTTGTGTAGATGTTGCTTATGTAAAGAACACCATGTGCAGTGTTCACCATAAACAGGCCAGCAGTGTTATGTAGTGCTGTGCTTGTTTTAAATGTGATAGTGCCATGTGTAACTAGAGTAATCTATTGTAGTTTATTTTATTAAATATGTATACACCACAATAAAAACCAAAATAGACAGTTTAAAAAGGAACAAATCAGGTAAAATCAGTACTGACAATTTTTGTTACATGACAGATATACGGGAGAGTATTCCTTACAATTATGCAAAATGTAGTTTTGTACCAGTTGGACAGTCGAGGTGCATAAAACATATGAAATAGTTATAATCTTATTTTTTTCTAATCTGTCAATTTCTTTCTAGCATCATTTTCCTTTCTCCCCATTCCTTAGATGTAAGAAGTAATATAATGTCACATTCTGTCCAGAATCAACTTTATGGTACATAGTCGTTCTTAGATAATTTGTGTTTTGCTGCTTAAGAAATTTC